TGTGTGTCTACAAGACTAAACCTGGTCGGGCAGGGGATGCAAACTTAAAAAAAAACGATAATAAGATGCCTTTCTAGTAAGATGTTGCTCGAATTGTGAACATTTCAAATTGGTTTTATTTTTGTATTAGCTTACCTTTATTTCCAGGGAAGATGTTTAAGTTCTGTGGTTTTAAAATGAATTTTGTGTATTTAGATCTATGGATTTTATATGCACCATTTTACAAATGGATAAATAACAGTTGTTAATATTTCTATGCCGGCACCCTTTTTGTTTTCACCTTCTCTGCGTGACCTTTATTTCCAGGGAAGATGTTTGAGTTCTGTGGTTTTAAAATGAATTTTGTGTATTTAGATCTATGGATTTTATATGCACCATTTTACAAATGGATAAATAACAGTTGTTAATATTTCTATGCCGGCACCCTTTTTGTTTTCATCTTCTCTGCGTGTTTGTATCCTACCAGATCTCTTTTGTCCAAGTTTTAAAAGATCGCAAGTAAACCCTTTTATTTTTAATGACATTTGAGTTGTTTATTTAATGACTTAAAACCAGAATGACAAAAAAAATGAGTGCACATCCTAACAGGATGGTGTGCTGTAAATAGACATTTTGTTACCATAATAAACATTTTGCTATCATAATGCCTCTGATCTTGTGATCATTATTAGGGTTTCTCAGTGGTGTTTTGATTATGCTTACGTGATTTTGAACTCCCTTTTGAAACTCTTTTACATGTTGAAATGTTTTATTTCCTTAAAAATCCAACACAAGCAAAAATAATTGGCCTCTAATGGCCTGGCTTATAAAGCTGTTCGGTTAGGACCTCAATTTCAAGGGCAACCCAGAAAATCTGTTGACAAGTTGCTATAAGAAAGGCAATGATCGTCTGAGCAGCTTGTTAGCAAAAACACTGCAGTTTCTAAATTCATGTTTGAAGCATGTTTGTTAAATAATAATAATAATAATAATAACAATTCATTACATTTATATAGCGCTTTTCTAGGCACTCAAAGCGCTTTACATTGTCAGGGGTATCTCCTCATCCACCACCAGTGTGCAGCATCCACCTGGATGATGCGACGGCAGCCATAGTGCGCCAGAACGCCCACCACACGCACCAGCTTACTGGTGGAGAGGAGTCAGAGTGATGAAGCCAATCAGCAGATGGGGATTGTTAGGAGGCCATGATGGTCAGAGGCCAATGGGCAAATTTGGCCAGGATGCCGAGGTCACACCTCTACTCTTTTCTGGGATTTTTAATGACCACAGAGAATCAGGACCTCGGTTTAACGTCTCATCCGAAGGACGGATGTTACTCATGTTTCTACATGTAAAAGTCTTATCCGGTAATGTTAATCATAGACTTTAATTTGCTCATAAATCAAAAGACAAAACATTCTAAAATTCCTGAGGGAGCACATGGCTCATAAATGCTATTAAATAGTTAAATTAAGATCAAAGTAATACACAAAAATGCCAGAGTGTAAGTAAGAACCATTCAAAAAAAGTTAATGAAATGTATCACACGTTTACTTTTTATTGATATATATATATATATATTCCATTCCTGTTGGAACAAATGGGTACGCAAAATTATATCTGTTGTAGTTTCGCCACTATAGAAGTTCACCCAACTATGAAGATTACCTCTTGTGAGAAGAACCCTGGAATGTGAAAAGGGTCGATTTCCGAACAGCTCCATTAACGTATTTCCGGTATTTAGCAGCGAGTGCACATGACGTCAGCAGGCTTCTGAAATGGTGCTCTGTCTCTTTAAGAACTCTCCACACCTATCGACTGATGTGTGACGTACTGATTTGTACTATTGTACTTAATCGACCGCCTGTATTTTGTGGTCTTTACAGAGGTTAACACGTCCGCTTCTTGTTTTCGGTAACTTTTATCACTCACTGGTGAAAATAAACGGCTGTTTTTTGGCTTAAATTGCAACGTAACGCGACTATAGATAGTTCGTTTGCCGATTTAAAATAGGGCGCGAGATCACATGCGCGAGTTGGGGATAGTTTGGGGACACGTACATACATATGCTTTCGCTTAGTACTTGTCCATTCAAAACAGCCCTTCAGAACAGTGATGTGAACTCATTAAATCGGCTTTCTTAACGGATTAAAAAATCTGCCAGTGGTCTGGCGCTCAAGTTTATGGAGGAATGAAACTCAAAGGTCTACGGAGCAAAGTTGAAAACGGGATAATTTGACTCAAGCCATGGTGACTAAAGTATCTTTGCGGCTTTCTGAATGAACGCATTGTGTGTGTGTGTGTGTATATATATATATATATATATATATATATATATATATACACACACACACACACACACAGTACATATAATATACACAGTACACATATTATGTAAACAAACTTGTATTTTGGATGTGATTACTTACGATGAATCATTTGGCACCCCTATTTTATTGTTTGTTTTTTTGCAGGCCTGGTTCATGCTACTGATTACTCTAATGCCAGCGCAACAGCAATATTTGATTCCTATCAGGTCAGTTACAACTGTCCAATTACTATATTTGTGTAATTGCTGTTATCTGATCATTACCATTGGATTGTGGACTTCAGTACAAACACGTACAGTGAGAGATCAGACATTTAATAACAGACACTTAAAGAGAGAGTTCACCCAAAAATGGGGGTTATTATTTACGCACCCTCATGTTGTTCCAAATCTGCATGACTTTTTCAAATATGGGACACAAAAGGAGAAAATGTGCTGCTCCTTTAATAAACAATTGCTTTGTTTGAGGAACAGGGCAAAACTTGTTCCATTTTGTCATAGCACACAACAATTTAAAGTAAATGCGAATGCGCACTGTTTTCTGGTGCACAGTTTTCTATAAATGGTTTTCTTCATTATCGAAAAATATATTAACTTGCTCCATATCACACACAAAAAAAGTGTTTTTATTGTTCTATCATTTCTTTGGGGTGAATTATCTTTTTAAGGCCTTTCATGTGTATATGTGTGTGTGTGTGTGTGTGTTTTTCTTGTATCTTTTGTCCATATAGTGTCTTAGAACATGTTTCTGTAAGTGGTGCTTGTTCATAGGATGTTGTCTGTGCTCATAGTGTGTGCGTGTTGTGTGATCATCAGATGTGCTGGAGTGGATTTCTTTGCTCACTCCTCTCTATACCTCTGTCCATCCTCCCCAGTGTGCAGAACACCAGGTACTCACGTACCCTGAATTGCTCTGGTATTTCCAGAATTCTTTCTAGTCTGCGTTTGACTGAACAATTAATGCTCTTTTTTTTTCCTCATATTTAGTCATAAATTTGGCACATGTGATCCTTCCATATTTGGGGTGCCCATCCCAGTCATGTCTGTTGTGAGTATAAATGTTATGCAGTTTTAATATGTGTGTGTGTGTGTGCTTGATTTTGTATTTGGTGCCACAACCCTACCTTTCATGTCTTTTTCACAGATGGCAGACCAACAAGCAGCCATGTTTGGAGAATGCTGTTTTGACATTGGTGATGTGAAAATTACTATGGGCACAGGGACCTTCATGGACATCAATACAGGAAACAAACCACACACGTCTGTAGCTGGTATGTCATTCCAGTGCTGACCTTACCTTATCGGTTAAGCTTTTCACAGTATTCCGTTGGAATTCAACTGAATTGAAAGAAATACTACTAAACCACTAGAACTAATAATCTAAGCCAGCTAAACAGCATTTTAGACTGCATGAAATCAAACATTTTGTGGCTTTTAGTGTACACTGACATTCAAAGTGACCTTTTTTTCAAAAGTAGTGTATTTTATTCAACAATGATGCATTAAAATGATCAAAGGGGACAGTGAAGACCTTTATATTGTTACAAAAAATTTCTCTTTCAAATAAATGTTTTTTTTTGTTTTATTCATCAAAGAATCCTGAAACAATGTATCATGGTTTCCACAAAATATTAAGCAACACAACTGTTTTCAACATTGATAATACAAAATGTTTTTAGCACCAAATCAGCATATTTCTGAATGATCATGTGACACTGAAGACTTGAGTAATGGCTGCTAAAAATTCAGGTTTGTTAGCACATAAATAAATTACTTTAAAATAGAAAACAGTTCTTTTCATTTGTAATATTTAATGTTTGCCACTGTTACTGTTTTTACAATATTTTTGATCAAATAAATGCAGCCTCAGTTGAACATAAGAGACTTTCATAAAGATGAAAAAATCTTTCCAACCTCAGACTTTTGAACTGTAGTGTACATCACTGGAAACAGCAGGTTAGGGCACGATGTGACTCATTACTCATCATGAAGCAGTGTGGCGAGTGAGAAAGGAGAGTGATGTGTCCATTTGTTGGTCCCTCTTTATATCTGTTTTCTGAATAGGCCTTTATCCGCTGGTGGGCTGGAAGATTGGTGCTGATGTTGTGTATCTGGCTGAAGGTAATGCTGCTGGAACAGGTGCTGCCATTAAATGGGCCCAAGATCTAGGTGAGGAGGAGGAGACTAATGTGGAATTACAAGCATACACACATTTCTTAACTTGAATATGTATTTTTCACTACCAAAAAAAGCCATTCCAGACAGTAGATGCCCGTTCCACTCCATTATGATAGTTTATTTAACTTGGATTAAGTAAATAAATAAAAAATAATTATATTATTGTAACGTAATTTCTTACAGAGCTCTTTTCTGATGTGAAGGAGACTGAGGCTATAGCCACTAGTGTGGAAGACTCAGACGGCGTGTATTTTGTGCCTTCTTTCAGTGGCTTACAGGTGTGTTTGGATCCATTGTACTGTTTTTAAGTTGCTGTTCATCTATGAGAATTTTATACAATGTCGTGTCATTTCAAGACGTTCTCTGTTGATGTGCTACAGACCCCTCTGAATGATCCTAAAGCTTGTGCCTCTTTCATGGGCTTAAAACCTTCCACAACCAAGAGACATCTTGTTCGAGCCATTCTGGAGTCTATAGCATTCAGGTGAGCTTGCAAGATCTGACTGTATCATCCAAATAAGATGTCTCATGAATCAAAGAATGTGCCATGTTAAAGCTATAAAAAGTCAGAAGGCACTGATTGTGTCAAGGTCAGAAAATAAGCAGGGCTTTGGGAAAAATGGGCGAATATCAGCCCCTAATAAAAACAAAAGTTTATTTCTGACACTAGTATATGACCATCTACACTAAAACAAGCTAAATTAATCAATCAGGTCTCATACATAGTGCTGGATTGCTTCAAATGTTCTGTTATTGTTCATGTTCTGATAAAACGCAAGATAACATAAATAAATGATTAACGGCGGTAGAAAATGAAAATATTTGAGCATCAGAACACTGCAGGACAATGTAAATAGACTTTGGACACCTCAACCGTATGTGTTATGAAGCATATCCAGTCCTGTTTGTAGATTTTAGCTTATTTTATTTTACACCATTTTTTTTATTTATTGTATTTAAATTCATTTTTATCAATTCAATTAGCGAAAAATGAATTCTCTGCAATGAATTCTCAAATGCTAAATTATCACTACAGTTCTTTACTGCAAGTAATGGTCACACTATGAAATCTGTAGAAAAGACCAAATTTATCCCCAGAAAACCTGCAAATTCTTAGGCCATTTTATCTCAAACAGTGTTTGCAGGAAAGAAAATGTCACTTGGGTTATAAAGTACATTGGCACATAAAGTTCTTAAAATGAGTTCTTCAATTATCATCTGCCTTGGTGCACAAACAGAAGAGAAGGTGACTGGATATAAACCACTATCCCTTGGCATTCTATACCAATCTAGAGTAGTTAATCAGGCCTCAAAATAGAGACTCTTTCCAACTTTCTCACCATTCCAAAAGTTCCCCATCAAAGAAATAAATGCCAAAGTCAATAGTTTTCTTCTCATGTTCTTCTGTTCCATCTCCCCTTTATTTACTGTAGAATTGTGTTTCTGTTTCTTCATGTTTGCACTGTAAATGTGTCATAATTTGGGATGCATGATATAATGGTTATCATGGATATTGGATTTTCTTTTTTTTTGGGATTGTTGTCTCACTCAAAGTTAGTCTTTTAAAACACTAATAATTTAATAACATTGTTAAATGTAATCTCTAGCAAATGAATATCCATTTTTCATACTGTACATTATGTGAAAATTTGACATTTCCAACCCCATCTCAGAAGAATATGCAAAGTGTTTTTTTTTTACAAGTTAACAGTTTAGTATGATTTTGTATGATTTGTATTAGTATTTAGTATGGTATTTGTATTAGCAATTTTAGTATGATTGACAAGAAAACACATTTTAACTAAGCATGAAGGTTGAACCCTATAAACCTAACTCAAATTTGCCACCAATTCGCCAAGAAACCCCGTAAAATAGTTAAAATTTTTACAGGACTGTGTTGGACTCGGATCGGTATCAACCACAATTTTAACATCTTGTGTGATTTCCTGTAATTCTCATGCCACAATTCAACAGCAATTCTGATTCTGATTTTTAGGAACAAGCAGCTCTTTGAAGTCATGCTTCGAGAAACCCGTATTCCTATCACTAAAATCAGGTGAGGGTCTCACCCTCTTTGTCTGTCGTACTGCATTGAGCTTGATCCTGCCTGTCTGAACTTTTGTGTATTGCTACACATTTACAGGGCAGATGGAGGTGTTTGCACCAATAATTTCATCATGCAACTCACAGCTGATCTGTTGGGGCGTAAGATAGAACGTCCAAGCCACTTTGACATGTCCTGCCTTGGAGCTGCTTTTGTTGCAGGACTAGGAACAGGTAAGGAACTAGCCATATTTGAGTGCAGCAAATAAACTATTCCTAATCTAGGCTTAATCCGTCTTAACTCTGTATCATAGTTGGTAAACCAATTTCAAAGGCCTCTAAATTATCAACATGAGCAGAACTTTGCTGAAAAACCTGTTGTGCACAATCCACTACATGCCTTCGGCTGTCTGACTGATATATTTATTGGTTTTTAAACCTGATATATTTAAACCTTTTACTGGTTTACTTGATTATCCATACATAATCTCTAGAAAAAATCTTGTTAAAATGTAACAAACATGATACTTCAGACTTTTGAGGAAGGTTTATTTGTACATCTCTCTATCATAATTTTATTGCTTTGCGTTATACTGTATATCCCCCCCACACACACACAATAAAATCTACATAGCTTTGATTGTAAAACTAAGCATTTAAATACCATCTTACTAAGACATATTATTTGGAGATATAGAGTTACAACTGATATTTATTTATATGCATTTTATGTAAGTAATCTGCTATACTGTTATAAAGATCTCTGATTTAAATGACAAGAATCAGGACTTCATCTTTTACTCCTGCCATATAAATATCAGCAACTGGTTTGGGACTCGAAAAATAGTGTTTTTTTTATGAGCTCCATATTTTCGTCTATCATACTAAATGAGCCATAAAAACACGATGCAAATATAATACTTAACAAAAAAAACACACAAGTACTTTTTTTTCCTGATTGTTGCCTAAAGGTTCAATAAACATGTTTTTAAAAGTAAACGTATTTCATATGTCAGGCTTTAAAGGGTTAATCTGCCCATTTTATTTTGAACGGTCCTTTAGGTTACTGGAGGAACCAAAAAGAGCTGAAGAAGCTTTTAACCACTGACCAACATTTCCTTCCCCGAAGGAGTAAAGCAGATTGGGACAAGGGCGGCCCATACAGAGGTGTACTGCAGAGCTGGGAGAGCGCTCTTCAGCGCTCTATGCACTGGTACAGCCAGCCCTGATTGACCAGAATACAGGTTTCTTCTGTAAACTCCATGTTCATGTCAACAGGTTTAGGGCAGTTCTCTCTGTCACTGAGAAGAACAGTATGATTTCCAATCTGGATTTGGAAACCCGCATATCAAAGGTTAGTTACAGTTTTGCCAAATCACGGGGGATTTTACAGATTTACAACTTGTTTGTGTAAATCCAAATCACCCAGTTGTGAATCCAGTGGTATTATGATGATGAAGCGGCAGGCTGCAGCACAATTCCTACTCGTAGTATTATGATTTTGCCAATCAATAATTTAGTCATTAGGCACTAACAATCAATCAGTGCCTTAATCCAACTACTGTTTTTTTTTTAAATATGAACAAATGAATTTATTTAACTCGCTATGTGCCTTAATGAGGTGCTTTTGTACAAGAGATCCTCAGTGAGGTGCCTCAGTTACTCATCTCCCAAAGGATGACATCTCACCCTAGAGGAGAATTGTAATTATATGTAATTTGTGTTGTTTACATAGATGGGAGTAAGTTAAACTTACTGCTCTTTATTTTTATCATACACTGAGTTAACACATAGTGCATCCATTTTAGTGTATGGTAATTTATACAAGCATTCATTAATGCTGTTGTAATTTTAGTTAATATTTTCTAATTGCATATATAGTCTTGGCATTATGTAGGTTATTTTTTAATCAAATGTACCTCATAATACAAAAAGAATGCTGCAAACATGGAAAACTTGTTACCTGAAGGATTATATTTCCTAATGTTGTTGTTTTTTTTCTTCAGCTTTAAGCATCCAACCGGCTATGCTTGTTTGTATACAAAACTGCAGTGTCCCAGATTGTCACTTTATACTATCAACAGTGGCTAATAATAGCATACATTCAACTGTAGTAAAAATGAGTAACTGTGAAACTGTGTAATATCCTAGGCTTTTATCAGGATCTTAAAGAGAGAATAGACAGAGAATATTTGTAAAGATAAATGTATTAATAGATTGTCAAAGAACTCATTGTGCCATGTTTCATGTCAGTATGTGAAATTAGTTGTTTTAATAAATTTTCATTATGCCATTTCAGTGTCCAGTTGTGTGCATTGTCATGCTAATAAATCAATGGTTTTCAAACTGAGGTCAGTGGACGTATAAAACGTGACATTTCTGATTACATAATTAGACATTAACTGTGACCCGATAAACATTATATAATTCATGGGTCTAAAATTGTAAAAGCAATGTTTTAATGAAATTAGATGGCTGAAGTGCTTGGGCTCCTTATGTCGTATAACTGAGTCTGCCGAACAATGTAATAAAATTAATAACAGTGTAAAGTGAATAAAGTCTCACAATAAAAGGCTTCATTAAGTATAAAGGATTCATTAATTCTATATTTATAGGATTCTATGAGGATAAATTGGTATGAACAAAAAATAGTAACATTTCTTTATAATAGCTAAAAACAAAATAATTTTTTTGCGTTTGGTTTTGTCGTGTATTAAATGTATTATATAAGCGTAATTATAAATAGTCCATGGGCGTAGGAAACGGATTTCAGGTTTGCTATTGGTCGATCCAGGTGTCAATCATCTAGTAAAGTGGGCGGGATTAAAGGAAAATGGCGACTTTATCTGTCGGAGAGCCTCAAGAGATGGAAGGTGAGCTGACTTGTGTATTTTTAACGATTTATTTTCAACGGAGACTAAAAAAACAGCGATTATTCTTTTTGCTCTCTCTCTTTATAACCAAGCTGAGTTTTTATTTTTAATCCGTTCATATATTAGTGTGCTCTTACCATTCGTTCAAGACTGCAATGTGTGATTGTTTACGTTTATCACACAGCTAACTAAAGCTACTCTTATAGTCTGCACGCATGAAATGACGATAAAGGCTGCTTCATTTCTTGGTTTCTCTTTAGAGTGTATTTAAACGCCAGACCTCTGTTCAGGTGTGTGTTAATTAGTGGACGGGGCGTCAATGCCAGCACACCTTGCTGGTTAGCTAATGTAGCCCACCAGCTCACATTAAGGTAGTTGTCAAAGTCTGACCTGTTTGGATGGATAAAGTGTAGGAGAACCTGAATGTGAGCTATCAGACGTGACAAATCGAGCTTTTCTCGACGCCTCCATTTGTTTCCAGCTGTATCAGCACAGTTTGCTAGCATGCCGCTGCTGTGGGATGAGGGTGTGTGTGGGATGGGTTCATCTAATAGATTGAGGCTTTGAAATTGTGCTTTCAGATTAAAATCGTGCTATCACGATTATTTGGCCCAGATAGCAGCAGTGGCATTTTGTAAGCAGGTTAGTATTGTGGGTGTGTCCTAATTATTAATTGTTATTCATAAAAACTGTGATTTTAAAGTGGACAGGAGGGGTGAGTCTGAGGAATCTGGTGATGATGAGACCAAGAGGAAGAGTCTCAATGGAGAGGTCGACTCCTTGCAAGCCCCTTCGACTGGTGAGACTACCTTGGCGCGAGGAAAACAATTAAAAGGATGATCTATGATCTGTTTCTTTACCGCTTCTCTCGCTTCCCTTTTTAGTACCTGAGGAGTCACCTGTTGACATGGACACCATAACCTTAGATCCAGATGAAGAGGTGAAACATTCAGTTTTTAAAAGGTTAGACCAGGGGTGCCCAACCCTGTTCCTGGAGATCTGCCTTCCTGCAGAGTTCAGCTCCAACCCTGATCAAACACAACTGAACCAACTAATTAGGATCTGAAGGAGCACTTGATAATTACAGACAGTTGTGTTTGATCATTGTTGGAACTGAACTCTGCATGAAGTTAGATCTCCAGGAACAGGGTTGGCCACCCCTGGGTTAGACAGATGATGTTATTAGCACTATGATTCATTGTGTGTTAATTATTTCTTTAGGATGTGGATCTGGTCCACTGTCGCATTGGGAAGATTGAGGGTCTGGAGGTTCTTCGGAAGGCAAAGGTGAGAGTATCAAATGCTGGGTGTTTTTGGGGGGTAATATAGTAGGGTTGTCTAGTTACTGGATATAGATTTGCTTATTTGGAGTATCAATTAATTGTGCCCAATTACAGATCGTAAATTGAGTCCTTTTCTTTGTTTCTATCATCAGACGATTTCTCTTAGGCAAAACCTCATCAAACACATTGAGAACTTGGACAGCCTCGTCTCATTGAGGGAACTCGATCTTTATGACAACCAGATCCGCAAACTAGAGAATCTTCAGGCCCTAACAGAGCTTGAGTAAGTCAGACATGATGCTTATTATTTTGTACAGACCTTTTTTTTCTCAAAAATACATAAAAAAACATTTTTTTATATACACTGCTATTCATAAGTTTGCATTCAGTGTTTTTTGTAGCAGTTTAATAATAATGCATTCAAGTTGTCAAAAGTATCATCATATCACAGTGATTTCTGAATGATCATGTGACAGAAGACTGGAGTAACAGCTGCAGAAAATTCAGCTATGCCATCAAAGGAATAAATGACATTAAAATAGAAAAGAGTTCATTTTTAATTGTAATAGCTTATCACAATATTGCTTTTATTGTTTTCACTGTATTTTTTTAATAAAATAAATGCATCTTTGGTGAGCAAGATACTACTGACCCCAAACATATGAGCAGTAGTGTACATACGTGACCTAACCGTGAATAAACCACATTTATGATAAGCATGTCAACCCTCTACATTACTAGTAAATCACTCTCATATGCGACTAAATCTTCACTTTGGGTGACTAAATGATGTCTAATATTAGCCAATGGCTAATCATTTCTCAGGCCCTGTCCACACGAACGCGGTTATTTTTAAAACTGCAGATTTTTTTCACGCTTAGGCTGTTTGTCCACACGCAAACGCAGCACCAGTTCACTGAAACTGCACATTTTTGAAAACGCCTGCCAGGGTGAAGATTTTCAAAAACTCTGGTTGCAGTGTTATCATGTAGACAGCGAAACCGGCGTTTTTGGCTTGTGACATCGGAGCATGCACTGTTATCTCCGCCTACTGGAAACTTTTTCAGGTTTCTAAATGGCCAACATGGCTTTACGGTTGAGATTATATCGCCATCTGTTGGTTTGGCATGCTCTTGACAGTGCTTCATAGCATGCGTTTGTGTTTTCATGTGGATGGAGATTTTTTTTTTAAA